TAATGTCTATTTTTGCATTGCATTGCCATTCTTAAACAAGTAAGCAGGTAAGAAACAAGACATATAAGACATAATTGAATTAAACATTCCATTTTGTATATCGTTTTCCAGCAAGAGATATGTAAGAACCAAGCAATGTTTGTTGGATTAATATACTAATTCGTTAGGATAGGATAGGATAGGATAGGATAGGATAGGATAGGATAGGATAGGATAGGATAGGATAGGATAGGACAGGACAGGACAGGACAAGATAGAATTCTTTATTGGGCAAATGTGATCAGACAGACAAGGAATTTGTCTCCGATGCATAAGTTCACAGTATACATATAAATATGGTAAAACATAGGAAAGAATGTTTATGGTTGCATGTGCTGGGCAAATCCTGTAAAAGTGCTAATTCTGGAAACTTAATAGTATTAACCATTAATCAGCATAATGTAATCAAGCATAGCCTATGGGATCAGCCTTAAACTGAACCATGGTTTATACTGATTTGTGGAATAAATTGCCAAGGTACCGGGAAGATCTACTGTACATTATCAATCATATTAAGAATGATTTTTACTTTCTGGGTTTTGAAAAGTCAACCAGTGCTGTTAATATACTCTGCCTTAGGGTTTACCGTGGCAATTCTTGATTACCAGAATCTGATTCCTTTATTCCATATGCAAATGTGGCCACGCTTTGCCTCTTGCCAACCCAGACAGTGCAAAGAAAGGGATTAGCACTGACCTCAAGTATTGACTAGGGAATGAACCAAGTCAACATGCACACACTGGCTTCTGATTTTATAATTTAATTTAAATCAAGCTAAACCCTAAAACACTGAAGAACAAACAACTGTAGTGTTTACACTCGGTAACAATAAAGCTACTCTAGCCTTAACATTGAAGATCTATTGCTGTACACTATGGCTTTTTGTGAATTATAGCTGTCCTTCAAATAACCTACAATCCAATACAAAGGACTGTAAACAAGATCTCCTCACCCCAAACTGGTTTAAAACAAAACACACATTCAAAATTCAGGATTTAGTATAAAAACAATCTTCTTGAATCAGAAGAAATCTTTAATTCTTAGTGCTTGCCCTCTTATTTTCCTGCCTCAGATTAGAATTTCATTTAGAGGACACAATATTTCTGGGAGCCCCCGTGAATAAGACTTAATGGAATTGCAGTATAAACACTGGATAGAAGCTCTTTGACTGGAAAAAAAACCCTCCCCTTTGATGGCTCTATTGAAAAGCTGATGGCCACAGAAGACTAGACTACTACAGCATTGTAGTACAAGATCCAATTAAAAATGAAAACTCAGTAATAATTATTTTAAAGATCAGTCTTAGACTTAGGCCAAATTTCCCATGGATATTCATCAAAGAAAAATAAAAAGATAAGTAGAGAAAGCCACAAAGACATGGCAACAAGGCCTGGATTTGAGTTGAATGATGGGGTTCCTTTGCTAAGCAGCTCAGCCCAATCTTGACAACACAAGTAGATTGAAGTTAGAAGATTTTTGTCCCAGATTTTTAGTGGGAACATTCCAGATAGCAAATATGAAGCTATGGCCATGATTTATCAAACATAATATATTTAATTGGGTTCATACACCATGTGTACCGGTAGCCATGAACCCAGGTTTCTTCAAGATTTCACATTTCACCTGTTATGCCAAACTTTTAAATAGTTAGCATTCTCAAGCAGCCTTTAAAATTCTCCAGGTGCCTTTGCCTAAATCTTTAATGTAAGAAAGTCCTATTGAAATCCATGGGGCTTTTCATATAAACATTTCATTTTTTTTAAAAAAAATGCCACTTTCCTCTGGCTTTGTAACTTTAAAAATTTACTACCAGCTGACCAAACAGGATATTTCAGTTTTTCACATGCTGGAGGTAGATTATCCTTGGGTATAAAAAGTTCTGTTGAGCTATGACATTTGATGACTACAGGCAGTCCACTTGGAACTATTTTGTGAATGAATGAGCTTATTTTGGACATTGGTGAATTTAAAATTTGGTATTTAAATTCCAGCACTTTTACTTTGACTGCAAAGGTTTGTGTAGAAGCACATATACAAGTTGGCTCACCCACACACTACACCAAAAGACAATTTTATTGTTTTTATGAGTATCATGTGAGGTACAATTAAGCCAGTATCGTGTGAAAGCTATGATCAACGTTGATGTATTGTACTGACCTATATTAATTTCCTATTAAAGGGCCCTACTTGTGTTTTTTTAAAAATATAACCTATTGTTACTATTGGATAACTTGCTTTTTTTTTTTTTGGCAAATGTTGGAATTAAAGGAAAGCCGGGCCTCTTAGCTGTCTCTTCTCTTACACAATCTGGCAACTAACTTTTTCCAAAAAACGTTGCTTCTGCCAAGATTTCTCCCCTCCCACGGCTTAGCTTCGCCCAGGAAAGCAAGAAGGAACTTCGTACATGCGCAGGCGAACTTTTGCTCCCTTCTATCTCATCTCCTTTTATTTCTCAAGATTTGAGGGCATATTAAGGGGGCAGACGGAAATTAATCGGTGCTCTGGTTTAGCTATGGAGATTGTGGAGGAGGGGGGGGGGTGTCAGAGAAAACAGAGTGAAGTATTGCCCAATCGGACTCACCCGCCGCATATAGATAGATATGGAAAGCGGATAAAGCTAGAATCGGAGTTTCGTGGTGGTCCTGGGGAAGCCGAAG